CAATTATATCTCGGAGAAAAAAATCTAATAAATAAAAATTATAAAGATGTTATTTATCTTGTACTAAATATTTCGTTTAAAAATTATAATATTGCACATATATATAAATGAAATAATGCACTATCGTATAAAATAAAATAATATTTGTAACATGATATAATTTTATACTTACAATATTTAATTTACTTATAATTAGAAAAGCGGTAACATCGTAAATAAGTTGTGCCTTTTATCGTTGAACAAATAAATATGTCTAATAATAATTTTATTATCAAAAATTTCTGTTCACAGAATTGATGCTAAATCATTTTTTATTAAATCGTTCAATCATCGCATATGAATTTTTGTAATACTTCTTAGCATCCCGTTAGTTGAGAATGCTTAATATTGCCTATTTCTATAAATAATACATTGTCCAAAAACCATGATTTTTATATTGATATTACAATTGAAACATTCAGTAGCATAAACATATACTTATTTTGTCAAATGAAAAATCGTAAATCTTCTCAAATTATTCTTTGTATTGTCATGTGATTAATTTCTATTTGACGAATAATTTTATATAATTTTATTTTCATTTGAGAATAAACTCGATAATAAAAGCAATAATTTCTCTTCTTTAGCAATAATTTTTTTTGTTAATAAATATTCAATCAGCTTTTTGATATAAATATAAATGTTACAATATCAATTCTTAATTTATTGAAAATACTGTTTAGAATCTTTTTCGCATATATGAAATAATTTTTCGATGTATTTTTCCCACTATTTCTTATTAATATTCTTATTTCTCATTATATTTTGATATATTTATAATTTATAATTTTCATTTCATTTATTGCACATAACGAATATTTTTATATACAAACATTATAGTTTTTTATTTGTTCACAACAATTAATAGGTTTTAATTTAATTTCGAAACATATAATCAAAAATATCATTGTCACGTGATGCATATTTTATTGAAAAATTAAGCACATGTCTTAAATTTTAAAACTATTGATGAACATAAAAAACAAATTGTTTCAATCTGATATATTTTACTTTCACTATTATCTTATTTTGCACATTGAAACGATGCCAGACATCGATTCAATCCATGAATCATTTTTTGCACGAACTTTTATTTACTGATCAGAAATATATCTTTATTTACCGAGAAATATAGAATGTTTTTTCATGCCATGTTTTTTACGCTTATATATAATTTTTTGTATATTATTTTTTATAAGTAACAATCACATTCTATTAACGATATAATGAACTTTTTGCATTGGATTTGATTTCATATATATTTATAACTTGATTCCATCATAAATGCGGAGGCGCTTGGAACTATTTTATCATAATGGTTGACATTAAGAATTGTGAGCGAACCGATTGCAGTGACATCTATACAGTGATGCAGTTAGAATCACGATTGTGATGATCGTTAACTGATACTACTGTTTTCAAATAAAAGGTATAGTATGAGATATTTATTACAATTTATTTTTCTAAAATTCTTGATTTTACTATATCAAAAGCAATCTAAAAACTGATTTAAACTTTTCAAAAATATAGATTGAAAATCAGAATTATTATCAAAAAATGGTTACTATGATTATATTTGGTTCGATTTCATCTCAAATATTTAATATTTGAAATGAATAATTTAATAAATAATAATTATTTAAATAAATAATTTGTATATTCTAAAGAGTACATAAAATATATATTTTATATATTTGGTGAATATGCTATTATCATGGTCCATCATGGAATTCATACCGAAATGGTTGAATGAAAAAAGAAACATTTAACTATGATAATTAAATTAAATTAAATTAATAATTAAATTATCATCTGCTTGATATCTTAAATTCCATTTACTAAAATGTATTTATATCAAGTTTTTCATTTCTGAATAAATATTATTTCGCGATAAAAAAATTAACATGAATTTGAAATATATGTATAAAAATTTGCAAAAAAAAGAAAAGATATTAATGATAATCAATTATGATACACCAAGAGTTAAAATTAAGCAATTAGAGCAAAAATTATGACAATGTATATTTAAAAAAAAAAAATATTACACTAACTGGCAAAATATTAATCATTTAATGTATCATAAAAATATAATTCATGATTGTTCAAACTTATAGCCGATTTTATTTGTTAGTTTATTTTAAATAGGATTTTAAGATATTTCAAGATTGTCAAGGATGTTTTTATAACATGAATTTATAAAACCATCATAATTTTGTTTTTAATATTTATTTTTCAATATTTAATATTTTTAACATCCATTTTCAAGATTCAATTTATTTGTTAGATTCGTAGTGCTTCTTAACTTAATTGTTTGCTCATTTTTGCTTGCGTTGTTGATTACTTGCGTTATTTGAAAGATTTACTATTCACCTTTCATTAATAATTTTTTTTTTTCGTTATTAAGACAGATTCACCTCTCTTGTCAATTCGTAATATGTGAAATCAACAAATTCGTATGTCTTATCTTTTTTAAAAAACAATTGTGAAACAATTGCTTCATGAAAAAATCAGAAATATAGAATTTCAACAACTCTTGAACAAAAAAACCGAATCATTAATCTTTATGAATCTAATGTAGATTGGTCTTTTGAAATAAAATAATTAAAATGTGCAAAATCAATTTAAACTTTTTATTATTCCAAGTATTATATCATTAGTTCTTCGTATGAGATGTCATCTTAGCAGAAAAACTGAAACTTCATTGGAGACTTAGACGATTGTATATCCAGAAAAAAGATAGTATGTATTTATCATTATAATAAAGCGAATCATTATAAGATGGAATACTATTTTTTAAGACAGCATAGTTAGTATATATTCAACATGATATATCAAGGAAACAGACAGTTTGTAAAACTGGAGGATATTCTTCTGGAAACAAAATTCAATATCAGAGCACGGCAATTTTTGTCATATATTTGGAAAGAGATTGTTATCATTACTAATTCAATTGCATCTTTTCTTAAGTCTGTTTTTCTTTCAATTTTGTGTATTATATATAATTGATTCTGAATAACTGAATATATGAATTTGAAAATCAAACTCATTCTTTTCAAATTTCAAATTATTGGTAAGTTTATTTGACGAATATTCTTAAATTTGAGAAACGTGTCAAGGATTTGCTTAGAAGATTAAAAAAAATGCAATTGAAAATACATGGATTAGATTTAGGCCTGGAGCACAACCAAATGCACAATTAAAAAAAAGAAAAATCTTTTGAAAATACATATTTCTATTGCAGATCATTGGCGAAGAATATATATATTAATAGTCCGAAACTAAAGAAGAAAGTATGATTAGTTTTTTTTACATAAGTCTGTTCTAAATGCGTAAAGATCAAGTTATTATTTCGAGAAAGATTGCTGAACGACGATGATATGAGAATTTGTAAGTATTAAATTTAATTCTTCATTCGAAAGAATTTATTAAAGCATAATAGATACATAAAAGTTACACTCCCATTTAAAAAAATTTTCATCTGTTTCTAGTCGATTCATCATATATGCAGTAAATTTTTCTTGGACCATCTCAAATTAAAATCGAATCTCTCTCGAGTCTCGACCAATCGTTATCACTTTTTCAACTCGAGAAATAAATTATGGAAATAATTTAAAATCTACTATAAAGATGAATATAATCAAAATATAATATTAAATATATAAGATTTGTGATATGCGCCATTGCATCGGTCATTTCGAATGATTTCATCGCACGCCTACAAGACCACCATTATAGCAATCTAAAAAATTCGTAAAAAATGATCTTTAAATTCTGATCCTTTGGATTATTCAAACTACATTGCATGTAATTTTGTGCAATGTTACTAAACAAAAATCACCACTTATTTTTTCACATAGCCGTATTGAAATCGGTCTTTACTACATAGATAATGTCTGTCCGTGAATATTAGATTACATATGGTTAAATAAATCTAGTTTCAATTGTTTATAAAAAAAAGAAAAAAGTTAAAATAACAATAGGAATGATTGACAAGTTTTTATGAAAAATAAACAGTATATAATTTAGATTCATATTGCAAATACTAAGCATGCCTATTATATAAAGATAAATACGCTTTGCAATATTGCGCAAAATTAGCGGCCATGGCATTCTCCAAAACATGAAACTTTTTCAGTTAAATGTCTTTAGATTCATTTTAATTACCTATGATTGATACAAAGAATTGTACATGTAAAATTGTTCATACAAAAAATGCAAGAAGACCATACTTATAAAAATCAAAGATATATAAAAATAGCATGCAGAAGATAGCCGATTCAAGAAATATTAAATAAATTAATGTAAATAATTAATGTAAAAATTTTGTAATTTTGCACATTGCAAACTTTTATGTCAAATTGAGAAAGTCCTCTAATATAATATAATATTGTAATATATAATAGTTTATATTTTAGATAAGAAACAAAAAAAAAAACATAAATGCTTTATTAGACGTCAGTTCATAAATTTACTTCATAGATTCAATGAAGAAGAAATTTTATAATAAATTAAATGTTCCAATGCAATTGATACAATGATGAATAATCTAATCTTAAACTAAAATCATTAAAAATTTTCAATTTTCTTGATCTTAACAATTTTACAATAATCAGACTAATGAATATAAAAAATATGTATGTAGCAATTTTGGCAAGTTCGAATTGAATTGAAATCGAATTGGGACCAGATATTGCTTCAACAGTCATTTGAAATAATTTAATTTTCACAAATAAGAAAATATCGCTTTATTAACCATATCAATAAGTAATACCACAAACAATCGAATTTTATGAAAAACTATCATTTTTTAAAAAAGATATATGAGTCACCATCTATATACAATACACCTAAACAATAGATATTGGCAATCGATATGTGTAAAGTGCGTTTCTTGAAAGCCACAACTATTATTAACACAATTTGTAGACAAGATAAGAGTGTCATCATATACAATATAACATAATTTGTAGACAAGATAAGAGTGCCTTCAATATTCAAGTAAGTATTATTGGATGGATTCTATAATAGTTTTTAGTACTTGACAAATCATGTATTTAAAATCCAAGATTTCTCATTATTAAAATATATCTGATGGCAATAGTGCTGATCTAGTATCGCAAGATACTGGTCCATCTTCTTTCAGAAATAATGATTTGTGGTGGTGTGATTATAGGAAATCCTTCCTATAATCCTGAATATCTTCTTTTATATATAATTCTGTTAAAATATCCGAGAGTAATATGGCACATAACCACATCAATTTCTTTTTATTTATTTATTTATTTTTATTGTGAATATATGTACTTTTCTCTCAATATTTCTTTTTCGTATCAAATTATACTGTATAATTATCAATTTGTATTCCATTAAATTCATTGACAAGATTCGAGGAAAAAATTTATAAGAACAGTGAAATTAGTAATCAAAATGTAATTCTTGATTGCTTGATAATTAAAAATAACAAAGAAATAGTTAGAATAGTTAGAATAATGCAACAAAATATTTTTCTTTGATTAGTCATTCATCGACAAATTCAGACTGCAAATTATTCCGATCAGAAGCATCCAGAAAGCTCTTATCAGCATCTCATTTATTCATAAAAAAATATGAACCTGTTAAATTATTACACGTTAACGAAATTTTGCGTCATTGAGGAGTAAATTTTGGATTTTATCTGATGGATAAATCGTTAAAAGAATTCTGTACCAGTGCATGAAGTGCTTTCGAGAAAATTCATAGTGATTATCGAATAGGCAATTTATGCGTTAATCATGTAACTCTGACCAGAATTTTTGCTATTTTCATACGAGTTTTTTTTTTGCATAATTTGAAAAGCTTAGTTTGCATAGTTTGAAAAACTTACATCTATATTTTTCTTTATTTTATAACTAAAGCCATTCACTTTGAATTTGCTATTGATTTATCGATTGACGCATTGTTGAATTATTTACATCGTTTATTTTACATCATTTAGTCGATATCATTTTATTCACTTTAATAATGAAAAGAATTTTATTGATAAAGCGAGAAACCAGTTGAATGAATTAGATCTTCTCTTAAACAACAAAAATCAAAAATAAGTTCAATACACAATGAAAAAAAATTTATATTTAATTTATTATTTCTTTATTATATTTTGCAGATTATAAAAAATTATAGAAGTATCTTAAATAAATCAAATAAATTAAA